TTTACAAACCGAATTCCAGAAAAGTTGGGACGTTTTTTAAATTTGAATAAAATTAAAACTATACGACTTTCAAATCACATGAGCCAATATTTTATTCACAATAAACATAGATAACATAACAAATGTTTTAAACGGAGAAATTGTACACTTTTATCCACTAAATGAGCTCATTTCAAATTTGATGCCTGCTACATGTCTCAAAATATTGGGACGGGACACGTTTACCATGGTGCAACATCTCCTCTTCTTTTCAAAACAGTATGAAGACGTCTGGGCATCGAGTTTATGAGTGTCTGGAGTTTTGGTGTTGGAATTTGGTCCCATTCTTGCCTTATATAGGTTTCCAGCTGCTGAAGTGTTCGTGTCGCTTTGACGCATTTTTCGTTTAAATGATGCGCCAAATGTTCTCTATAGGTGGAAAGATCTGGACTGCAGGCAAGGCCAATTCAGAACCCGGACTCTTCTACGACGAAGCCATGCTGTTGTAATATCTGCAGTATGTGGTTTTTGCATTGTCCTGCTGAAATACACAAGGCCTTCCCTGAAATAGACGTTGTCTGGAGGGGAGCATATGTTGCTCTAAAACCTTTATATGCTTTCAGCATTCATAGTGCCTCCAAAACATGCAAGCTGCCCATACCGTATGCACTTATGCACCCCATACCATCCAGAGATGCTGGCTTTTGAAAACTGAACGCTGATAACACGATGGAAGGTCTCCTCTTCTTTTGTCCGGAGGACACGGCGTCCGTGATTTCCAACAAAAAATGTCAAAATTTGGACTCGTTTGACCATAGAATACTTTTCCACTTTGAAATAGTCCATTTTAAATGAGCCTTGGCCCACAGGACACGCGGCGCTTCTGACCATGTCACATATGGCTTCCTTTTTGCATGATAGAGCTTTAGTTGGCATCTGGAGATGGCACGCGGATTGTGTTTACCGACAGTGGTTTCGAAGTATTTCCTGGGCCTATTTAGTAATATCATTCACCACAATCATGCCGATGAGTGATGCAGTGTAGTCTGAGGGCCCGAAGACCACGGGCATCCAATAAAGGTCTTCGCCTTTGTCCCTTACGCACAGAATTTCTCCAGTTTCTCTGAATCTTTTGATGATGTTGTGCACTGTAGATGATGAGATTTGCAAAGCCTTTGCAATTTGATGTTGAGGAACACTGTTTTTAAAGTGTTCCACAATCTTTTTACGCACTCTTTCACAGATTGGAGAGCCTCTGCCCATCTTTACTTCTGAGAGACTTACCTCTCTAAGACATCCTTTAATCATGTTACAGACCTGATATCAACTTAATTAGTTGCTATAGATGTTCTCCCACCTGAATCCTTTCTAAATTTCTTGCTTTTTCAACCATTTGTTGTCCCGGCCCCAACTATTTTGAGACCTGTAGCAGGCATCAAATTTGAAATGAGCTCATTTAGTGGACTAAAGTGTAAAATTTCTCCATTTAAACATATTGTTATATTATCTATGTTCTATTGTGAATAAAATATTTGCTCATGTGATTTGAAAGTCGTATAGTTTTCATTTTATTCAAATTTAAAAAACGTCCCAACTTTTCTGGAATTCGGGTTGTATATCA